CGGTTATCGAGCTTGTGTTGTCCGTCTCTTCTCCCGAAGATTGCTCTATGGAAGCTGGACGTTTCTGTTCGGGAATTTGTGGCACCGTAATATTTTCATGGGTTTGAGCAGCAGCCTCTGTATTCTCTTCAAACGATACCTTCTCTGAAACGGCGTCAGATGTGTCAGGTAGAACCTGACGAACGCAAGGAGCCGAATGAGATGGGGGGTCGTTCGACGGCTCGTCCGAAGATCCTCCAATAGAATTATCGGAGGAGTCTCCCGAGAAGCTTTTCATGATTTCCTGAGACTCCGGTTGACACAAGTCTACATCAACGGGTGATACAGTATCTATCACGATTTTGATTGTACTTTGTTCTGGAGGCTCATTCGCTAGCTCCGCACCCTCTTTTGGTTTTGTTGAAGCGTACGTGTTAGATGCAGACAAACTCACAAACTCAATCGGGTCAAGATGGGATTGCGAGGGATCTGAAGTATTGAGCACCTGTTCAGAGTTTTGATTGTGCGTAACAGGATCAGAGATAGCTTCCACCAACGAGTGGTCATTGTCACCTTCGTTGATGGTTTCCATAGGAAGCGAGCAATTGGATTGCGGGAACGGGTCTGATGAATCCGCAACTGGAGGCTCGGAATCCTCCTCTTCAGGAATGTTTGACAGCCGATTCTGTTTATTCTGCACACGTTGAGCTTCTTTTGGTTTACTCGTCGTAGTCCTCAGGCGTAGCCATTCATTCTCAACCGTACGCTTTTCAGCTTCCATAACCCAGGTGCTAAAATCAGACTCGACAGCCTCCAGCTCGTCAATCCAGCTTTCCGGGAGTGAATCCCCTCGACCCTCGAGCGCGTCAAGGACATTATCCATTCGTCTGCCCGCCGAGAGTACTATCGCCTCAAGTCCAGCTCGCTTGGCATGATAGTTTTCTCTCGAATAAAGGGGATCATTTTCAGAAGGAGGAGCAGGAATTTTCAACAGATCCATCGCAGAATCCACCTCGGACCGAGCAAGGTGCAAAGCTCGTAGTAGGCCTGGAATCTGGCGAAGCACTAATAGTCGAATGTCCCATGTTGTAAGGAGGCTATTCAGCCGGGACAAAAGAGGAAGGGCTCGAAGAATGGTGGCGGTGATGACGGCAGTGAAATCGCTCAATTGAACGTAGGTTAGCGGAGGAGGCACGGACACGGTGCTATTGGATGACGAGGGCCGAGATCGCGCTGGAATGTGGGCATTGAGTACATGTTCCTTGAGTTCGTCAACGTCCAATGTTTCCATTCCATCTCGTATTTCTTCAATGCGATCCTCGTGCTGCTTAACAACAACCGAGCGCAGGCTGCCATAGAAGACTTGTTCCTCAGAATCGATACTACTCGAAGATGGCGGCATGAAACCTTTTCCTAGTTCAGCATCGGCTCGCTTCGGCCAGTCCCATGCCTGCACCTCCCGATACCACTCGCTGAGCTTCTGAGCTGCTATAGCCGCGCGGATTCCCAGGGCGCGTTCCGCCGGGGAGACTTGTGAAATACTCTTCCAGAGAATATCATGAGCAGCTTTCTCATTCTTTGGTACCGCATCGGTGGAGGTTAGCGCCAGCAAGGTTGACTCGGGAGAAAGGTTGCTGAGCAACGGGTCAATTGTTTCATATTTCGGAGCAGCAGAACGGTCGGGAGATCGAGATGGCGAGCGTTTACGATAATAATGAGATTCGGTGGGAGAGAATCGAACCGACGGGCGAACGGGGCTGACACGACTGGTTGCCATTTCGGGAAAGGGGTCGTCACCAGCTTAGAATCGACGGCTCACAAAAGGCCGGGCGGAAAGATTGCCGATGAGTGGATGTATATTTCAAGAGACGGAGGTCGAGATGCGGTATCAGTGATGGTAGGAGAGAGAGAGTACCGCTGAGTGAGCATGCTGAGGCGCGATCCCGCTGAAGCTGAAAGAAGGCGTATGGCGAGGTTGGTGTATAGGGACTGAAAGCGAGAGCGTGCGGAGTAGATTGAGCAGAATCGAAGTACAGAGGAAGTGGAGCGGAGGTGATTCGGAGGGACGAGAGATAATTTATGACGATAGTGAGAGACAGGATGAGAAGGAAGAAGAGTTGACAGGCCGGATAGGTCACAAACGGCACTGGGACTGGGGATATTATGTGAGGTTGGTCGGGGGAAAAGAGGGAAAGGCTGGGATCGACCAAGTCGGGGTGGCTGCAGCACAGAGGAAACGAGTGTAATGTCGGAGACCAGCTCATTAATATTTGGGTCTCAATGACGGAATTGATAACAACCAACCATTTGCATCAACAGCAGCAGCATTATCTGTGCATGCATGGAGAAAAGAGGAGAGAGAGTTTTGGTGGTGTTGTTGTTGGTGACCTGGAGACGGAGATCCCTAAGCTAGCTAGCTAGCTACCTTAGCTACTTTACTAAGGGTTGACGGCGACGCGCGGATACTCAAGTGGACCCTACTATTTACTAGTAGACTAAATACTTACTAGCTATCTAGGCAATAATATCAGGGGGTTTTCGCTAGAAGAAAGTATTTTTGGATGGTTCCCCGTAAAAGGCACTAGGAATTTCCCATTAGGGTATTGTGTATTTGTATCTGCTCCATGGAGTCCTGAAATGCATCCTGCACTCGTTTTTCTGCCCGACGCGTATGCTGTTTACTTATTTATCGCTAGACACTTATGAAGCATACATATTGACAGCTGCCTCTCACTCGATCCATGCATCTGCAGATGACAGAATCAACTTGGCTCATTATGCGGTCAATATGATGGCCTCTGGCATTCAAATCCGCCCCATCATACTCCATAATTCTCATTCCACGCGATTATCGGAATGCCTCAGTAGCCCTATATCCCTTCCTTTCTCGTCCCAAATCCAAATACCCCGATTGATAGAACAAAGATTACTTTCTAGATCTTGAATGACCCTACCCCTTGCATGACCAACCCCAAGCCCATCTTTCGTCTCTTTCAGGTACAGCAATGGAAAAAGGCCTCCGCACTCAACCCGACCTTCTCAGCGGCGCACCAGAGAAACTGGTCGTTGCGCTTCAGGGACTGGAGGAACTGTTAGCTGTGGACAAGTTCCTGCTGAGGAAGATCACGGATCACTTAGTCAAGGAGTTGGAAAAAGGTTTGGAACCTTGCAGACCAGCCTTGAAAAGATTTTAGAAAGCATGATGAACGACGTCATTCTTTGATGTCCATACTGACCAAGTCCTCAAGGCCTAAGCGCAGAAGGAGGCGATATCGTCAGTGAGCTTGCTAGATTTGAATATCTTGGTTTTGTGCTCTGGAGGGACCCTAACTGATCGAGATCGTGCCACAGCCAATGAACGTAACTTGGGTCATGGGCTATCCAACTGGCAAGGAGCAAGGAAAGTTTTTGATCCTCGACATGGGAGGCACCAATCTGCGTGTAAGTCAGGCGGAGCTTTTCGGTAGCGATCGCGATATGGAGTCCATCCAGGAGAAGTACAGTATACCCCAGTCGATCAAGCAAGGTACGGCCGACGATCTGTGGGATTTCGTGGCGGACTGTGTGCAGAAGTTTCTCCAGTCACGGCTCAGGGAAGACGAAAGATCGAAAGTCTTGCCGCTTGCCTTTACGTTCTCCTATCCCGTCATTCAGTCCTCTATAAAAGTCGGAGTCCTTCAGCGCTGGACGAAAGATTTCTGCGTATCTGGAGTCGAAGGTCATGATGTCGTATTTCAGTTAGAGGCTGCTTTCGAACGGAAGGTGTGTCCCCTCGTTATTCCTAGCCGATTGCCAAAGGCTAGAAAATGACGTGTTCTCTTATCGCTCATTTGGCTAGCAAATTCGCGTCCGAGTCGTGGCTTTGATCAATGATACGGTCGGGACGCTCTTCGCAGCGGCGTATGGAGACCGAGAGGCCAAGATCGGCAGTATAGCAAGCACCGGTTGCAACGCTGCATACATGGAAGAGGTCGGTGCAATCCCAAAGATCCAAGGCTGCGGGCTACCAAGCGATGCTCTCATCGCCATCAACACCGAGTACGGTGCCTTTGATAATTCACGCCGCATACTGCCGCGCACCCGATTCGACGATGAAATCGACCGGACATCCGCGCATCCAGGCCAGCAGCTCTACGAGAAAATGGTCTCCGGGCCTTACTTGGGGGAGCTGCTCCGACTGGTGATGTTGGAACTGCACGAAGCCAAACTCCTCTTTGTAGGCCAGGATGTTTCGTGCTTGCGCCAGCCAAATGCCCTGGACGCCTCCCTCTTCCCAACCCTGGAGGAGGACGTTACCGAGTGCATGGAAAACGCCCGTAAGTGCCTGTGGGAGAAGATGGGCCTTGATCCAGCTCCGTACGAACTCAAGACCTGTCGGTACCTGGCCGAACTGGTTGGAACGCGTGCTGCCCGTCTCTATTCATGCGGGATTGCAGCGATCTGCAAGAAACGGAACATCGAACGCTGCCATGTCGGCGTTGACGGCTCAATTTTTGGTCATTATCAGAATTACCGCAAGCGAGCGGCGCAGGCCCTCCGTGATATTTTTGCATGGCCTGATGACCTTGAGGATCCGATTGTGTTTGGATTCTACAAAGACGGGTCTGGAGTTGGCGCTGCGTTGATCTCTGCGTTGGCTGTCGAGAGATCAGATGGATGTCTCCTTAGCAGGACAGAATAGACTTTAACTCTTAACAAGGGATCATTTCCCATCTTCTATTGCAGTTTGCGATATTTCCAACCTCTAGAGGTCAGTCTGTAGCAGGTGAGCAGCTATCTACGTAAAGCAAAGCAAGCCGTGAGGCCTTAGGCCACTAGCGAAGCCTGCTAAGTACACTAAAACGGTCCCCACAGCGATGACTAGTTAGCGCTGTCCCTTGCCGATCACCTCCAGCCTGCTGAAGCCTGGACTCGTCAATAATGCACAAAGCTCAAGCATCATCACAGTAGTCTAGATATCCTCAAGTAGTCCAATTAATACCATTCCAAGGACAGTATTCGCAGCGACGCGATGACCCACGATGCGTTTTCGAAGTCAACTGACTAATATTGTCATATTCACCAGTAAGTCTCCCCCATTGCCAATCATCAGTATTCCCACTAATCCCCCACCAACAGAGTTGACAGCTTCCCTCTCATCCCTGGGGAAAGTCTGCTGGATGCGCCTGGAAGATGGCATCGTCCGCTTCACCATCATCCCCGACCAAGGCACGCAAGTGTGGGCCCAGTTACCAGTCGTACGCACCACCGTCCCCTCCTCAAGAAAAAACCCCAAGCTAACAAACACCACCAGGACGCCATCTTCGACGAACCAACCTACACCCTCCAATCCAACTCGGGAGTCATCAACCTCGAAGTCCCGATCGGCGCGCTCCATCGCGCCCTCCGCTCCGCAACAGGCGCCACCTCCGCCCAACTCCGCCTCACAGAGAAAGGCAACATCCCTCTCCTCGCGCTAACCGTCCTCTCCTCCTCCTGGACAACAGGCTCAAACGCACTCGGAATCACCAACGCCCGCACTGAGATCGGTCCCCCGGGAGCAACAGCAGCAGCAGCTCCTGGCGTGACCGGGCCCCGCGAACGCGAAACGGTAATCACGCAAGAAATCCCCGTCAAGGTTCTGCACGAGACCGCCGTCGAGGGCCTGCACGAGCCGCGCTGCCGGGATCCAGACGTGCACATCATCCTCCCGGGCCTAGCGCACCTGAAAAGCATCTCCGAGCGCTTCTCGAAGCTAGCGGGGGACGGGAGACCCGCGGCCAGCGGCGGGATTGTCTCCTCGACGCTGACGGCGCCCAAGCTGGAGTTATCGGCGAATATGCATGGGTCGCTGAAGCTGGCGATTGCGACCGATGCGCTGCGCATCTCGAGCGTGTGGAGCGATCTCGTGAACCCGCCGCTGGACCCGGCGCAGATGTCGCAGAGTGAGATCGAGCAGTTGCCCAGTGAGAGGATGCGGGCCTTGGGGAGTGATGATGAGGCAGGGTGGGCTAAGGTGCGGATCGATGCCCGGGATTGGAGTCGGGTGTTGAGTATTGGGCGGCTGAGCCCGAAGGTGGTTGCTTGTGAGTTGTGCTGTGATAGTTTATATGCTTGCGACTGTTACGCTTGTGCTAATACGCTACTGTCCAGGTTTTATCCACGAGACGGCCCTGATTCTGTATGTTTACTTACCAGGAAGTTGGAATGGGGAGGATTCCTGCTTGACAGTAAGTTCCCAGTTGCCATATTTCAGCCATGCCATTATTAAAATTTCCCTTGCTAGTATTACATAAATTCCTATGCAGCCTGATCCATCAGACAACCCGCCGGAGTCTTGAAGACCTTGGCAAGGTGCGAGCGCCAAAGCTGCCATAATGAGACATGATACATAGAATGCTGGTTATTAGAGCAATAAGTGGACAAATTAAAATCGTATATCATACAAAACGTGAGCCAATCTGTCGCAAGGCCTCAAATAAAACCTTGGTGATTGTAAGAATTCGGCTTGGATCTAACGACCCAAAATGATAATCTCCAAACCTCCCATAGGAAGTTGTGCGGCGCAACTGTGCGCAGACGTATATGCAAACATGCAAGAAGGAAAAATCTTGCAAAGCGCCGCCAAAAGAGGCCGCTATTCTTCAAGCCGAACCCGGCATGCAAGCTTCTAAGCAAACTCATCATCAATGGTTCTATGACCGGACCGAGTATATGCATTTCACATTGTGCAAGAAGTGAAAACAAAAATAAGTTGAGAAGTAAGAAGAGGTCGAGTATCATGACAAGACCTCTTGAGTGTGATGCCAGTAGTCTCAGCCCATCAAGGCTCTCACTTCGCCATAACGTCGACATAGCGACCTTTCTTCTTCCCCCTGGCTGCAGGGCCTTTACGCGCCTGCGGCGCTCCGAGTAAGTCGTCTATTGAGCTGGCATTGCTCAATGACGTCGCTGGCCTAGGTGGGGCCCCGGCTGAACTGCCTGGAGGAGTCGGCAAGACTGCGCCCGTTGACACAGATCGTGGGATAGCAGGCGGTGGAGCTCCAAGCGAGGGGGGTGCTGGGCTAGCAGACATGGACGGAGGTGCGCCTGCAGAAGAGGACGGCCGGCTTGACGAGCCCCCTGCCAGCGGAGGCGTCGCCATAGCAGGTGGTGGCCCACCACTGCCGCTCATTGATCTACTGGGAGGCGCCGAACCCTTCGGTGGGGGTGGCGTCCCACGTGTTGGAGCAGCACTCCCGGGATCCTTTTTGTTAACCCACTTCTTCAGTTCGGTGTCATAGTAGAATGAATTCTCCTCCCCAAGTTTGGCACGGATTGGCCCACCGCCGCTATTGTCGTCTTTCTTGCCTCCAAACCATCCAGTAAACCATCCCTTCTTCCCTGTTGCGGGCGGGGGTTTCTTGGCTACACGAATCAATTAGCCACAGCAGAGATCAACAGTTATATCGGAACTTACCATCTGCCTCGGCCGCTTTGCGGAAGGCCTCATCAGCCTCGCGGTCCCTGCGTGCCCTCTCTGCTTTCTGTATTGCGGCTGCACGCGCTGCAAGATCCTCGTCGTCGTCCTCATCCATGAATGATTTCTTCTTTGGCTTGTCCTCTTCAATAGACTCATCCTTAACGTCGTCCGCTGCAGGCTCTGTATTCGACTCTACATACGGAGGTTCATAAGCCCCCGTGCTGGCTGGAGGCATATATCCGCCCTGGTCCAGTTGAGACGTCGTAGACGCACCTTGAGTATCGAGAGGTTGACCAAATGGTTCCGGTGCATACATAGGAGGCCGGTGGGACGGAGCACTGTCGGAGACCTGAGACTGTGCGGATAAAGGCCCTTGTTGAGCTCCAGATGCCGAATCCTCTGCAACAGGTGCCAAAGGCATGTAGGATGATTGTGGAGGCGTGGACTGGTAGCCAACAACCGGTGGAGAGCCATAAATCGGCATTCCGTGATACATGTTCGTGTCAGGTGTTGAAGGCTCCTGAGATCCTCGACGCTGTCCTAGTGGGTACCCGAATGATGCAGACCTCTGAGAGTCCATAGATGATCTACCGCGAAGTTGCTCGGGTGAAGCGCTTGGTGCGTAATGGCTCACTGGTTGGTAGCGAGAGGGGCCAGCGCCGGGCAACGGCTGAGCCGCTGCCACAGGATAGGACCCATAGATGTCGGATACTGACGGTGAGCGACTAATGGTGGGAGTTCCGGAGACTCTGGCAAACGGTCCAATCTCTTCGGCCTTCCCAGAGCCAGTGGAAGCTGCATCGCTATCATCCCCAGCAATAAAGCTGTTGAACTTCGCCCACATCGAGCCCGATACCTTCTCCATACTGGGCCTCGAAATCCAGGATGATGCGCCGTCGCTGGTCGTTTCTCTGAGGCGCGCTGATAGTTCATCCACACCAAAAAACAGGTGCTGATTATGATATCCGGACGGCTTTGTGGTTGCCTTCAGAGCCGCTGCGATGGCGTCGCAGTACTGTTGAGCTTCGGACTTGCGACCACGATCCGCAAGCGACCATGCGTGAATTAGCTTGAACGCCAGCAGATGCGGGAGTGTGGCCACCGACGAGCCCGCAAGCACAGATGTCGCAAATTCATACGCCTCGGTGAGCAGGATAGAATCGTCGTCGTACAAAGCAGCGGAAGAAGCTAAGCGTTGATGGTCTACTCCGAGAAGCACGATATTTGCTAGTGGGTCATCGACCCCGCCGAACACAGCGGCGCGAGAGAGAATGAAACAAATATGAGCGGCCTCCGTGCGGTTATAAGAGAGAAGCAGTCGACCAAGAGCCACCAGCGCTCGTTGATCGTCAGGGCTGCGGTTGCTCAGTACCAGTCCCAAAGTTTCCCGCCAGCTGTCAAGGCCATCAAGAGAATTCTTGGCGGGGCCATGTCCGTCAACCTTGCTGATCATTTGCAAGCCGGCCCTGGCCGAAGGGGGAACTAGCTCATCAATGCTTTCCTCGATATTTCCGGCAAGAATCTCGTAGAACGCCGCTAGAGACTCGGTGCGGCTTGTCGCCGATCTCACTTCTCGCCTCACGAACTCCTGGACAACCTGTTGCCAGACAGATCTATCCATCGGCGAGGCTATTATCATAGCATGGCCCCAGAGACGTTTGTCTACTGCAGCCCAGACTGCTTTCTCTCTTTCTCCGAGTACAAGAGTGTCGCGGAGTGAATCTACCGACCGAGGATCGACAGCATCCGGTTGAGATGGCGCGTTCAAGGATTGGAAACTTGCAGATGGTGTAATGCCATCTCCAAGCGATTGATGATTCAGCGCAGAATCCTGCAAATTGGGAAACAGTAGGTTACGCAAAGACTTCTGGGCTTCAACGGAGCCTTCCAGAACACCATCATTCTCGATCAAGACTCGGATGACCTTCCATAAGAGGGTCTTCTCCTCACGGCGTTTAGAAGCATCGACTGAAAGACGATCAAAATCGGGGATATCGGCGTTTTCGAAGGCTGCGATTTTGCTAGAAAGCCAAGCAACCACGTCTTTCTTCTTCGACTTGCCCTTCAGAGGACCCGGATGTTGCACAATACTCTCAGCAGCGGGAAGCCAGTCATTCAGCTGGCTGACTCGGACCTCACCAGGACAAGATTTGATCATCGGGGCGGCCTGGCCAGCCGAGTAACGCGGGATATACTTAGGGAAGCAAGATATCACAGCGCCACCAAACCCGAACTTGAAAATTGGTGCACCCTTCCACCGTTCCAGGGAGTCAAGTTGATGTCCATCAGTTGGAGGGATAAACTCAAGCACTTGAGAACGTGCACGACTGTGGGTGGAAACTGGTGCTGGGGCATAAGGATTAACCGTCCGCGTTGGAGACGTCGAACCATGCACTGAAGCAGGTCGTTGGAAAGGGTCGAGCGATGGAACGGACAATCTGGGACTGAGGGTTTGACTGGGAGACTGTGTCTGGGATCGACGAGGAGGGACAAACGGAGATTCCGCAGTGGATGAAGGATTCAGGACTTCAGTCATTCCGGCGATAGGTGGGCCGGTAGATATGAGAGCCGCGCGCTTGGCAAATTCATTGGAATATGCGGAAGGAGCATAGGGATTTTTGGTTGGCGGTTGCGTCGGAGGCATAAACTCGAGGACGTCCGCGCTGCTATTATCTTCTGAAGCGACCGGCTGTTCTGACGGACGCGAATGGTTCAAAGGAGGGGGGCTAGCTGTTGGTTGCAGATGAGGCCTCTCTTCACTTTGGCCTTGATCTTGATAATGTATCTTCTCATGGTAAGCCAGAGGGCTCGATGTGCGTGGCTGGAATTGTAAAGCAGCTCCCTGCCCTGAGACACTCGTCGGTTGTGAGGCGTAGCGATTGCGAGGAGGAGCCGCTGCTGCTGCATTCGTAGATTGAGGCGGGGCTGGAGAGTACCTGGGCGAAGGAGGGGGCTTAACACCAGCCTGCAGACCGGGAGACCTTGGCGAGTATCTCGACGCAGTGTTTGGAACGGCCGGCGCACTTGGTACATTGGGCGCTAATAGATTCGAGTATGGGTCCAACCTTTCCGGCTGCTGCAATTGGGGTGGATTTGGGGGTCCGATATTGGACTGGGGAGCTGCTGGAACATTCGAAGACGGATTCGCTGGACGGGGAGCCGACTGCGGTACTGACGGCGCAGATACAGGGGCATTAGGTGTATATTTTCCAGAGCTCGCAGGCCTCGACTTGGGCCTAGGAGGCGGCAGTGGAAGTTCTTCGAAGAAGTTCTTCTGAGGTGCTGTGGGGGCTGCCGATGAGGTTCCAAGCGGTGCAGGAGGGACTTTTGACGCCTTCAAAGGAGGTGTAGGTATGCTACTGCTCCGCGGAGGCGGCTGCGGTACGGTGCCGGGCTGTGCAACAACTGCTCTGTTGCTGGCAACGGCCCGGCGAGGCCGCGCAACATCCTCTGGAAGGTCATAAGGTGACTTGTAGCCTTCCTTCGAACGTTCTGCGAAACTCTCTGCTCTAGTCGTAACAGGGTTCGGCGGAGCCTGTGCTGAGAAGTAATTTGACATGGAAGCATTAGTGGGCTGAGGCGCAGTATTTTGCGCAGGAATACCTGAGAGCAGATCTGATGTAGAGGGCTGGTGCGGGGTGTAGGAGACCGGTTGCCCTTTGGGCCGAGCAGGGTTCTCAGGGGTACCGAATGGGCTCTGAAGGATTGCCGTAGACCCAGTGTCGTTTATATGATCCATATTAGCAGCATCTGGTGGTCCCTCCGCATTCGTCGTATCATCGTCGAAGAGCAAGTCATCATCATCGTCGAGTTCCGCCTGCCACCGCGCAGCCAGATCATCTTCGGTAGGCACAGTTTCGTCAGCATCATCTGAAAGTTCCGCCTGCCATCGTGCGGCAAGATCTTCTTCTGAGGGAGCCTTTTTGATTTCACTTTCTGCTGAGGGCACTGCCAAACTATTGTTGAACTCTACGGCTGTTGGCGATGGTTCACTGAACGGAGAGTCCGGACCGGCATTAAGAGAATTCAGGACTTGACTGGTGCTCTTGCGCGTGAGGTGGGAAGGTCCCTGGGCTGGAGCTGACTTCTGAATCTCACTAAAAAATCCGCTCTCGTCATCTTCATCGCCTTTGAAAACATCGTCGAGTTGGCCCTCCCCCTTTTGAGCATGATCATTTTGTGTTTCCGCACCCTGATCTAGTAGCGGAATTCCCTCTTCGAACCGAGACTCCGTTTCTGGCGGACTATATATCGGCTTTGTTTGCGTTTTGAGCTGGGCAAAGAAGTCATCCTCATTGTCACGTTCATTATCGCCGAGATCATCCCAGAAGCCCGAACGTGTATCACTAGCCTCTCCGTTGACTGTTGCGCCATTTTCCTCGCCCTCAGCTTCATCCATCCAGGCAGTGTCACGGCCCTCAGACAAAACCTGGGCATCATTCTGACTTGCCAAGCCAGAAGATTTTTCTGGCACCTCATAGTGTGGTTCTTCTGCAACATGCTGTTCCAGTCGAAGTCCACCTGTCATGTCAACATTGCCGTTCTCCGTAGGCACGTTCTCTGTGAAATCTTCGACTGCCCGGGGCTCATCAGTTTGCATAAAAATCGACTCGTCACGGCTGGGTTCTTCGGGCTCCTCAATGTCCGGTTTCGAGCTGTCATCGGCAGCCGGCGTTTTCGAGTCGACCACATCGGGCGCGCCTTGGTCACGGGTATCAGCAGAGATAACGGTTTTGGACTCAACAGGATCGTTCTCTTCGGTAATTTCTTCGGCAGAGGGAGACACATGGCTGTCAATGTCTGTGCTTTCTGGCACATCTTTTTCGGAATCCAGCGCCAACCTGGCCAGATTGGTCGCAACGGAATCGTTATCCTCAGGTCGAAACGCTGGATTCCACGCGAGTACCCCTTCTGTCTGCGCCATGTTTGCAAGAAAGGACTTCGCCGAAAGGCGGTATGGTTGCTGTAAATTAGGAAGCTGACACGTTTCTAGACAACTCCGGGACCCTGAGAGTCAACAAGGCGATGCACAATGGTAAAGAGAATCCAAGAAACACGGGAAATTAAACATGTAAAGAGGAAGAAGCAATCCTGTGGAAAGAAGGAAAAATTACAATACAGAACCCGGTTGTGGATTCATGACTGGATATCCATGATATGTAGAGAGGTATGAAGTTTTGAGATTCGGCACCCGAACAGACACCCGATAGATAGCACGGAGTACGGAGTAGTGATGCTTTCTCCGTTTTTGGTTGCCCCGTCTTCGCCTGTCCGTCATCCGGAGCGGATTGACTTTAATCCGACTCAAAAGAACACCTAACATGACGTATCACGTGATTGGCCCGAATTGTCAATACTCGGCATCGCATAGTTGCGGAGTGATTATCAACGGTCATCAGTTGCATATACATCAATTGTGAGCATGATATAGACTAGTCTACTCTAATTTGCGTTCTCTTTACAGGGGACTAATCTCCAGAAATCATTATCTGAAGACACTCAGCCGCTACGATTTGATCTTGAAAGAAGCAGATCAATACACAGCTTCTCCGCCTATGACATCGCTGTTTCATAAACAACTGAGCCTGAGGCCCGCACCAATCATGTGATCGGCCCTTGCTCCACCTCTCATGAATTAGTTACCACTACTTAGGCTCCAAAGATAGTATTATTATCGCGATGATAGGATGACTCCCTTTCTTTTACTCCTTGATTATTCTTAGGTGCATATAGGATGGTGTTACTTGTCCCCTTTTCCTGGATTTCGGCTTCTTACTTCCTGGCGCGCTGTTGAACGCCATCTACTTTCTTCACAGCGACAAGTACAATAACAATGCGGGCCTGAAATGCCACTTACCGTGAGAGAGGTATCCTGGTCTAAATAGAACTTTGCGAGGAAGATCCGGGATCGCGCTTCATATGGAAAGCACAGTCAATATCTCTCCGCATCATACCAATAATGCCTTCATCATCCGAGTTCCTTCATCCTCACGACCGCGCCAGCATTGCTGGTGACTCCGGATCCGATGACGACCTCGACTTGGAGGAGTTGGACCCGACCACGGCAACCCTTCATCAATCTCCTCGGCTATCAAAAGATGAAATATCGCGACAAAGAGGCTATGGATCAGGGATTGCTTTAAGGAATCTGCGGGTTGGCGGTGGAAATCGAGGGTGGAAGCGTAGTGCTTCCGGCATACGGAACAGGGACTCGGAAGAGGATACACACGGATTACTGGAAGATCGAGAGGGAGAGGCTTTGCGGAGCTCGCACGCGAGCTCACGAAATTATACTGATGATGATGCTCCGCTGCTCGACAATCCGCGGCGGAGCTCAGCCCGCTCGATTGCAGGTGATGGATCCATTGGAGGAAGGAGTTCTCGGTCACGGTTTTTCGGCTTCAAAGCAGCCAACATCTTCTCCGGTCCGTCGAGCTGGTCTCGCAGGGACGATGAAAGTAATGCAACCAAGCCTCCTCGGGAAGTGTTCGTTGGGCAAGCGCAGAGGTCGAAGTACCCAGCAAACATCGTTTCCAATGCGAAATATACCCCTTGGAGCTTTCTACCACGTACCCTATACAATGAGTTTTCTTTCTTCTTCAACATCTACTTTTTGCTTGTGGCTCTTTCGCAAATCATTCCCGTGCTTCGCATCGGGTACATGTCGTCCTACATCGCGCCTCTAGCTTTCGTCGTCTCGATATCCTTGGGAAAAGAAGCCTTGGATGATATTGGCCGGCGAAGACGAGATGCCGAAGCCAACTCTGAAGAGTTCTCAGTGTTGTCCTTTGACAAGCCCGTGGGCAGAAGGGCGTTCGCGACACCTGCAACTAATGATTCGGATGTCGACGAAGTATTCGAGATCACTAAAAAGTCTAGGGACCTGAAAGTCGGCGACGTCCTCAAGGTTCGCAAAAACCAGCGCCTTCCCGCGGATGTGGTGATCTTGAAGACTGTCTCCAATGACTCTGTCACTGCGCGGCGAAGCTCCTCAGCTGAGATTGCCACGGATCTTATGCGACCCGATCAAGAATCAGTTCAACCGTCCGAGGTTGACCCTAGTTCAAGTGCCGCCGCGCATGAAATTGATACTTCTTCTACTAGTGACACTTTCATTCGTACTGACCAGCTGGACGGTGAAACTGACTGGAAACTACGTTTGCCTTCGGTCCTATCTCAGTCCCTGCGACTCCGAAATTTCACTAAACTCAAGGTCACCGCCAGCGCACCGGACAAGCGAGTCAATGAGTTTCTTGGCACTATTGAACTTGGCTCGCAGTCAGGTTTCTACGATCCCCACGTCGACAAAGCGCAGACCGGCGGCAGAGCGAGCAGCGAGGATCGGCAAGCCAATTCTGCCCCCCTCACAATCGATAACACAGCGTGGGCAAACACGGTCCTGGCATCCAATACAATAACGTACGCCGTCATTATCTACACTGGCTCGCAAACACGAGCAGCTCTCTCTACATCGCCATCTCGTTCAAAAATAGGTCTTCTCGAATATGAGATCAATAACCTGACCAAGATCTTATGCGCCTTGACCCTCACTCTGTCAATCATCCTGGTTGCTCTCGAGGGTTTTGAACCAAACAACGACAAAGAGTGGTACATCGCAATCATGATTTACCTTATCCTATTCTCAACAATCATTCCCATGAGCTTGCGAGTCAACTTGGACATGGCGAAATCTGTGTATAGCAGATTCATTCAGCGAGACAAAGATATTCCTGGGACCGTTGTTAGAACAAGTACGATACCCGAGGATCTTGGTAGAATCGAGTATCTCCTTTCTGATAAGACTGGTACCCTAACTCAAAACGGTAAGTTCTCATACATCTGAACAGTTGAATTGCGTTACTGACAGTCTTAGAAATGGAGCTGAAAAAGATCCATGTCGGAACGGTTTCTTATGCAAACGACGCTATGGAGGAAGTGGCGTCGTTTGTTCGACAAGCCTTCGCTGGCAATACCTTGACCACACCTTCAGCTGCATTCGGAGCCCAAGCAGGACTTGGGGCAGCTCCTCGTACAAGGCGAGAGATTGGGTCGCGCGTTCGTGATATCGTCCTAGCGCTAGCTCTATGTCATAATGTCACACCCACGACCGACGAAGAAGACGGTATGAAAGTCACGAATTATCAAGCATCATCGCCCGATGAGATTGCCATCGTCAAGTACACCGAGGAGGTCGGTCTGAAGCTGTCATACCGTGACCGGCAATCCATTGTCCTTGAGACGACCGACACAGGCAGTGTTGTCGTTCGTGTCCGCATCCTCGAGATTTTCCCTTTCACCTCGGACAGCAAGCGAATGGGTATCATTGTACAATTCGAAACAGCCAACTCGATCCTAGAGACTTCGAGCGAAGATACCGAAATCTGGTTCTATCAGAAAGGCGCAGATACTGTTATGTCCGGCATCGTTGCAGCGAACGACTGGCTCGACGAGGAAACTGCGAATATGGCTCGCGAGGGTCTGCGTACCCTTGTGATTGGTAGGAAACGGCTATCCTTGCAGCAGTTCCAGGAGTTCTCTGCAAAGTACAGACAAGCCTCGCTTGCATTGCAAGGACGCGACGTCGGGATGGCCAAGGTCGTGAGCGAGCATCTTGAGCGTGACCTGGAGCTTCTTGGCGTGACTGGTGTGGAAGATCGTCTGCAAAGAGATGTAAAGCCATCCCTAGAGCTTCTTCGCAACGCTGGAGTCAAAATTTGGATGTTGACTGGGGATAAAGTCGAGACAGCACGTTGTGTCGCCATCTCCGCCAAGTTGGTTGCTCGAGGCCAATACATCCACACCGTCGCTAAAGTGAAGGACCCGTCTGCCGCCCAAGAGGCATTGGACTTTTTGCGAAATAAAACCGATTGCTGTCTGCTCATCGATGGCGAGTCTCTGTCGCTGATGCTTGGTCAGTTCCGGTCGGCATTCATATCCGTGGCCGTTCTCCTACCGGCTGTGGTTGCATGTCGATGCTCTCCGATTCAGAAAGCTGAAGTCGCGGAGTTGATTCGTCAATACACCAAGAAACGAGTTTGCTGTATCGGTGACGGCGGCAATGATGTCTCCATGATCCAAGCAGCTGATGTTGGAATTGGCATTGTGGGGAAGGAGGGGCGTCAGGCCTCGTTGGCTGCCGACTTTAGCATCACGCACTTCCACCACCTTACAAAGCTTCTCGTTTGGCACGGCCGCAATTCATACAAGAGATCCGCCAAATTGGCGCAATTCATCATGCATCGTGGCCTCATTATTAGCGCTTGCCAGACCATGTACAGCATTGCAAGCCATTTTGACCCGAAGGGTCTGTTCATCAATTGGCTGATGGTTGGCTACGCGACGGTCTACACCAATGCCCCGGTCTTCTCGCTCGTTTTCGACCGCGACGTTGACGAGCACCTGGCCAACCTCTACCCGGAACTGTACAAAGAACTCAAGTCCGGTCGCAGTCTCAGCTATCGCTCGTTCTTCGGCTGGGTGCTTGTGTCAGTTTATCAGGGTTCCGTAATCCAGGGGCTCTCGCAGATCTTGCTGAACACCATCTCAGGGCCGCGGTTGATCAGCGTCTCGTTCACGGCCCTCGTCATTAACGAGCTGCTGATGGTCGCTATCGCCATCACCACCTGGCACCCCGTAATGATCTTCTGCCTTATCGGTACAGCTCTGGTCTATGCCGCCAGCGTCCCCTTTCTGGGTGACTACTTCGACCTTGAATACGTCATCACCGTCGACTGGGTTTGGCGTGTGGTCACCGTCTGCGCCGTCTCCGTCATCCCCGTCTGGGCAGCTAAACTGATCCAACGGTCCTGGAAACCACCTAGTTATCGTAAAGTTCGAGGTTAACCGCTATCACTGATATCCCTTGTCACGACATCTTGCCTTGGTCGTTTATCGTCTTATCCAGGTAGAGGAGTTGCGGTTTTC